CACCTCCCCCTCCTCTTCTTCATCATCCTCATCCTCATCCTCTTCCTACTCCTCTTGCACCCACAATCACCTTTATTAACCGTGGTTATTTCTGCGCCTTCACTTGATAATCTCATGACTTAGAGGGGAAAAGGTTTCTCTTTGGGTTCCCATGCTCGGGATTGCCAGGGTTAAAGGGTTTAGGGCAATTACAATGGAGAAAAAAAAAATGGAGGAAGAAAATGAAAGAAGAAGAAAGAGAAAAAGAAGATGATTTTTCGAGTGAGAGAGAGAGAATGGGGGGGGAGAGGGAGCTACCTACCCACCTACCTACACGGACGACGCACGCACGCACACGCACACACACGCACTCGTTAGCCGAAAAAAAAAAAAAGAATTCTTTTTCGATCAAATTCGATCCCGATTCACAATAATTTTTTCTGACATTCATCTTTGAAAAATCTATTAAATTGATTTTATCAATAAAACTAAAAGAATTCTGTAAAATAATATCTTGATTTTTTTCTTTTCTTTTTCTTTTCTTTTATATCAATTCGAAGTGTTTAGATATGAAGAAAGAAAGAGAAAGAGAGAGAGAGAGAAGGATAGAAAGAAAATCAATCCTGATATCCATCATTAAATCACAAAGGAAAATTTTTTTTTTTATATAATAAAAAGATAACAAAGAATTTATCATTACCATTATTATCATTATCATTATTATAATTTGCATTTATTTAAAAGTCATTTAATAAGGTTTTATACGTAATAAAAATGAAACCTTAAAAAACAGGATCGCGTGTCGGGTAGTAAGGTAAACTCAGGGGCGTATCGAAAATTATTATTTCTTTCGTGTTACACGGTATTAAATGGATTAGAATGGCACGTGTAACTCGGAGGCTGGAAAATGGGCGGTTACATAATGGCGGATCCACGTGTGTTCTTGTCCGCCGCGCACGAGTCACTAACACCACACACACCTGTCATAAAAAAAAACATTTTTTTTTTAATTAATATCTAAAAAAATAATTTAAAAAAAAAAAATTCTACTTTATTTATATCAAATTTCTCATCCATGTTTTTTTTTTTTTTTTATTCTGCTGCTGTCGTTTTCATCATCATCATCATTATTATTTTAATGAGAGAAATTTTATAAAAATTATATCACGTTCAATTATTTAATTAAAAAAAAAAAAAAAACATGTCGTATTGAATTTTTTTTTTTATTATTTTATTTAATATCGATTACATTAAAAAAAAAATGTTTTTTTTTTGTAATTTCGTGAGAATTCGATAGAGGGCAGCACGTGTTTGTCATTTTTTATCTCGTTTATCACACATTATTTTATGTTTATGTATATCTATATGTGTTTGTTGTTACGTAAAAATTTTCATAAATAATATTTTTTTTTTTATTTCCCATCGTCTGCTTTTAAAAAAAAAAAAAAAAAAAAAAAAAAAAGGTTTAAAAGGAAAAAGTTTTATGAGAGGGTGTTTGATGAAAATGCTTAAGGGTAGTAAAAGTCGTGGAACCCGTAAGGCTTATTATTATAAAAAAAAAAAATTTCATTTTCTTTTAAAGAAAAAAAAAAAAGGTTTTTTTTTTTTTTTACCGGAGTAATAAGTTTTACACTCCACGCACTCACGCACTCCCACACCACGTACGCATATATATATATTCACACGATATAAACTGGGCAGTACTCTCACCCGCAATTTTTTTTTTTTAAACTTAAAATATATATAATGATAATAATAATAATAATAATAATGAGGCTGAGTTATAAAATTACCCATCATGGGAACGATATTTTTCCTTGAAGACATTTTAAAACATCATTTCTTTCAAAATGTCGGCATTTTTAAATTACTCCAATGCGTGACTTTAAAAAATGCAATTTAACCGATCCGGTTATTTATTACTCGGGCATATATATATATTGTTGTGTTAAACACTATGATGATTTTTAACCAAAGGTATTTTATTACCAGGTAACAAAAAAAAAAAATTTAGCAAATTGATCAGAAGTCAATAAATACCTTCAAATCGATTAAAGTTCTTAGAAATTACTATTACTCAATGTTCGTGTGTGTGTGTGTTATCAATTACTCATATAAATTCTCATTACTTTACGAGTAGTTATTTTTATATAAAAAAACCCTTAAAATAAACCCCTCTTCCCCCCCCCGCCCTGTGTGTTGGTTGATACCCGTAGGGAAAATAACAATTAGGACAAAACGCGTTGAAGAAACTAAATGAAATGATTACATTTAATAAACGTTGAATGATTATTCTTAGAAGATTATGGGAATACACAAATCAAAATGGCTGACATTTGGTCGAAATATAGAACATTATGTCATTACGAAATTATAGAAAATTATATCGAAATAAAAACTGATGGATGGAGGATTGCAAGAATTTCTTCGTGGGAACTGGACCAATGCCCTTCCCATCTAAGCTTCCAATTATCTTCCGATTTTAACTTGACCGTACAACAACCAACAAACAACCAATAAATTATCTCCCCGTTTTTCTAAACAGGTACAATTATATATAAATCTTTAAATAATTTGTTTTTTTTTTTTTTTAACTTATGATTTAGCACACACAAACACACTCGATTTAAACAATAATCATGATCAAATTATGTTGAAAAAAAAAATTTCTTTTTATTATTATTATTATCATCATAAATGATTCAAATTTTTTCCTTCATGTGTGTGTGCGTATGTGCGCGAGTATATCGAAAGCCATTTAATAATTTTTTTTTTTCCTTTATAAAAAACCCACCCGAAATTTAAAAAAAAAAAAAAAAAAAAATATCGATAAACACATAGAATATTATCCCCGAAAGAAAACGTGGGAGGGTTGCCAAAGGGCCGAAATAGACGCCAAACTAAATTGCAGGCTTGTGCGAGGGTACAAGGAAGGGTCACCGTCCGAAATAATCTGAGGCGCCGCCGCCGGGGGCTCATAAACATAGGGTTTGCCATATAAATTGAGCCCCCGGCTCACGTTTATCCCTAAGGTAGGTTGATAGGTAGGTAGGAGAGCAAAAACCTTGTTACTTACCTTCCTGTTGTTTTTCTCATGGTGATTTACCACCACCACCACTACCACCACATAGACAAAAAAAACTTTTTTTTAAAAGATTCCAGCAACCGTTTTAATAATTTCAAAATAACCTTTTTTTTTTTAACGTAGTTAAACCTATTATTTCCATTTTATAAACGTTAAACCCGCCTCTTTTTTCCCGCGATATGGGTTTTCTTTATATTTTCAATCGTGAGAGACACAACCAAAAAGTAAAAAACGGTGATTTACTGAGAAATCAAAACAAAAACAAAAACATAAAACATAAAACCTGTGATTAACAACCTGAAAAAAAAAAAAAAATTTTTTTTGTCACAATTTGGCCAAAAAAAAAAAAAAATTAAATTTTTTCAGAATGTTCTTTTTCTCACGTGTCGTACCGTCTTTTAGTATAAAAAAAAAAATTTTCTCAGGTATTTATTCGAATCAGAAAAACAAAAAAAAGTACCTGATTTTATTTTATAATTAATAAATAAAATTTAATTTTTTTTTTTTTTTACGGTCAAATTTTATTCACACGATTAAATGAGAGAGAGAGAGAGAGAGAGAGAGAGAGAGAGAAAATATTTGGGAGATGATTTAAATATTGAAAAATTTTTTAAATTGATGAGTTGGGGGGGGACGGGGGAGGGGATTAATGATGACAGGCAGAATTTTTTTTTTTATTTGGTGGCAACAATTCATCTGTCAATTGATCACTTCATCGATTTCTTCTGCTTTATTTAATATCGCACTCTTATAAATCCGTGAGAAAAAAAAATTTTTTTGTTTATATAAAAATTTAAAAGGATTCGTCGTTTAAATTTTATAACATGTACTTTAACACGAGGCCTATTAAACCCCTCAAACGTACCTGTATCTCTCTCTCTCTCTCTCTTTGTCATGTGACACCTTATATATTTACCCCCCCTAATATAATATTTTTTCTTCTTTTTATTGCTAAAAAAAATTTACGACACTTGAAATAAAAGAATTTTTTTTTTTTTTTTTTTGGGGCAAACCAGTAGTAGTAAATAACAACAACCAAAAAGTTTTCGAGGCGTTTTTTTTTTTCTTACAAATGATTTATTAACGTGTAAATAGAAAGAAAAAAAAATTTAAAGTTTTAAATAAATAAATAAATAAATAATTAATAAAAATTTATTTATTTATTTATTAATCCGAAAACATCGTTGTAATTTTTTGTATGTTGAGATTATTATTTATCACGAAATTATTATTTTTTTATTTTTCTTCTGCTTTTAATCAGATTAAATAATAATAATAATAATTTTTGTTCACATATATATCTATCTTATCATTATCATTATTTATTTGATTATAATAAAAAAAAAATTATTTTTTCTTTTGCAAAAGATTAAATTTTAAATTTTTGTTACGCCCAAAAAAAAAAAAAATTTAACGACAGGAAAATTTTTTATTTACATAAAAAGAAAAAAAATAATTTATAATATGTATACATAATAATAATAATAATAATTAATATTTATATTTTATTTACATTGATTATAATTTAACTTACATTTATTTATTTACTGGGATTTTGGGGATTTCATTCCGACGGATAACAAAAATCCGTTTTTGGAATATTATTATTATTATTATTAAGTGTTCGCAATTTATATTTTTTTCCAGTAAGTGAAAAAAAAAATTTGAGATCAATTTAATTTTTGGTTTTTTTTTGAGAACCTAATAATAATAATAATTATCAACGCCAACAATTTTTTTTTCTCCTTATTTCTAAAACACGTAATTTAATACATAATATAAAATAATTAATATAATATTTTTTGCAATTTGCAGTTTACCTTTGGTTGCCCACCCGTTAATTTAAGTTTTTTTTTCTTTCAGGTACACAAAAAAAAGGAAAAAAATATTTTTTCTTTCCTACACGACCGCGCGCGCCTAATAATTATCATCTCGATTACCGTTTCATTATTTCGGCTATTGTGAATCCTAATTGCTTCTTAACGGGGGGTATTTGATCCGCCTTGTTAGTAGGAGCTTCTTCCTGGCGACTCAACGACAGGTCTAAAAGACCCATACCTCCTTCATCGGTACAGGTACCATCTTCTTCGCAATGCGTCATTTCGTGCCTTTTCAAATCGCAATTTCTTCTAAATAGTTTCGTGCATCCCAAACATTCGAATGGTTTGTATTCCGTGTGAGTGAGAAGATGAGTTTTCAAATTTGATCTTTGGTTGAAGCTTCTGCTGCAAACTGGACACTTGTGCGGAGATTCTTCCATGTGAAGGATTTTATGTACGGCTAATGTTCTAGATTGGCAAAAACCTTTTCCGCATTCACCGCATTTAAATGGTTTTTCTTTGCTGTGTATGTACCTGTGATCTCTTAAATGATCCTGTCGTCTGAACGCTTTGTTACATATGTCGCAAGAATATGGCCTTTCGTCCGTGTGAGTTCTTTCGTGTATTAATAAATTGTAGGATTTTGTAAATTGTCTGTTGCAATATTTACATATGAATTGTTTTTTCGGCCTCGATGAACTCCGTCCGTTTCCGGGATTTCCACTTTGCAATCCCGTACGTACTCCTCCCATTTTCGATGGAGATTGTTGTTGAACGACATTTGATCCACTTCCTAAATGATTTCTATCAGTGGTCTGTGAGGGATAAAATGCGTTACGGAGCCAATGATTTACGAAAAGAGCCGTGGAAAAATTCGACGGGTACGAAAATCCGGGAACGTAGGGAAGAGGAGGAATTATTTTGTGAGATGATGGAATTCCCGTACCGGGATAATTCGGACAAAACGGTCTAAATGCTGAATTTTGACAACGATTTTGATATTCTCTTTGATCCGTTGAAGAAACCTGATCGAAACTGAAACAATATCGAGACGACGGAGTTCCAGCGGGAACATCAGAATCAGGAGTGTGAGGAGGTGTCAATAAAGGAGAATTTTCTCCTCCATTTTCGCTCTTCATTATTTGTTTTGATTCTAAATAGAAAAAAAAAAAAATCACTTTAATCCAAAAAAAAAAAAAAAATTAATTTAATTCAAAAAAAAAAAAATTTTAATTTCATGAAAAAAAATTAAAATAAATAAAAAAAAATAAAAATTAAATTAAATATCTTACCTTTAAGTTCTTCCCGAAAACAATGTTGTAAAATATCTGTCGCCATAAGGAGACTAATTTATAACAAAAAAAAAAATTTTATTTTTAACTCACAAAAAAAAGGAAAAAATGTCAATAAAAAAAAATTATTTTTTAAAACTTTTCACTTTAAAACTTTTTTTCTTTTCTCTTAATTAATAAAAACTGCACATTAAAAAAAAAAAAAAAAAACAGCTGAAGATTCACTGACTGTGTGTGCGTGAGTAATACCAGAAGCAAAACTGGTTGTGTGATGTTAACCGAACAAGAAGTCGAAGTAGAAAAAAAAAAAATGAGAAAAAAAAAAATGTTGAGAATCCAGTGAATGGTATGCAACTGCTTCGGGTTCCTCTTGGTGGAATCAGAAGACGGGGAAACGCATGTTATACAAGACTAATAAAAGGGGCGTGGCCAACAATTTCATTGGTCGATTTTAAATAAGAAAAAAAAAAAAGTAACCATTACCTCCTCGTCGTCATCATCGTCGTCATCGTCGTTGTCGTCATCATCGTCATCGTATTTCCTACCTTTTTTTTTTTTTTCGTTATTTTATTACCGTGAAATAATAATAATAATAATAATAAATGAGAATAAAAATTATGAAAATGGAATCTTCTTCTGATGTTGTTACCGTTTTCAAAATTATAAAAAAGAGAGAGAGAGATATGATACGACAGCAGATGTGACGTTTAACACACGGAGTGAAAATTAAAATGTGGTTGCTTAATGTTTGCACAACAACAAACAACAACCACAACAAAAATTAAAACACGAAACAAATCGATAGCGGCGGTTAGGTCAAAAGAATTTTTTTTTATCAATTTTACCTCAAATAAAAAAAAAAAAAAAAAAAAAGTCATTCGATGCCTTTGAGGAAAATAAATAAAAATCTTGTTAAAGCTTCCGATTGATAACATTTATCGACCGTACTGTTATTATTATTATTATTATTATTTATTTATAAGTAAAAATAGAAAATTTTTTAAATGTTTATTAACGAAATAAATAGAAAAAAAAATGGCACGTATCGAAAACTTTTTTTTTCCATTTTTTTTGTCTTTTTTTTCCTTTTATTATTATTATTATTATTATGTTAGGTTTAAATTTTTTTTTTTTTTTTGGCAAATAAAAAGTAATATATATATATATATAGTTTGTCAATTTATATAGTTGGTAAACAAAAAACATTGAATTTAATGTTTACACAAGAAGATAAGACAAACTCTTTTTAAAGGTGCTTTTAAAAACCGCACAAAAAAAAATCCAAAAATCTTTCTTTGTCGGCACACACACGCACACACGTACGTATATGTGTGTGTGTGGTATGGGTCGTGCGCGTTACCTTTTATCATCATCAAAGCCCTAAAAAAAAAAAAAAAAAACAATTATCAGGAAGCTTTCAGGAGGAAAAAAACTATGGAGTGGTTATCTTTCTCTCTCTCTTATTAAATTTTTTCCTAAATATTAATTTTATTTTAACGAAAAAGTGCGTGTGTGCGTGCGTGTGTTCAAATTTTTTTTTTTTTTTAAAGAATTTTTATTTAACTTGAGATAAATTTCAAAAGCCACACACACGCACAAAACGCGTCGAATTAAAAAAAAAACATGGCGGTTAAAAACCAAATTTACATCGTTTTTACAGCCCTCAATAAAAAAAAAATATATAAAGTATAAAAAAAACCCGGCTATAAACAACAACGACAATAACAATAACAACAACAACAACAACAACCAAAAAAAAAAATTTTATACAAAAGCGAAAGTTTATAATGTTTTTATTTATTATTATTATTATTTTTGACATTTTGTTTAAATAAATGGGCCAATACGGTAGGAAGTATAGTAAACAATAATAATAATAATAATAATAATATAAAGTGAAACCAATGAAAAAAAAATTTTTTTTTTGTCCAATGTTAAATTTTACCCTAAATATTATCATTATGTGTATATTTTTTGGGGGTAAATGCAATTTTTCAGGGTATGAAAAATCTTTTGTGCGTGTGTGTGTGCTTCACACTCACGCACGCACACACGCACTTGTATTTATGTATGGTGTAATAAAAAAAAAGAAGAAAAGGTTTGTGTGTCCTTGCCCCAGTAATGAAAATGAAATTTTCAACCTTGAGCCTTTTCCTTTCAATATAAATAAAAAAAAATTGCCACCGAGACTAATTTTTTTTTTTTTTTGTTAAATGGGTGACATTTTTGTTTTATAAACAATTCTTTTTTTTTTTGTAAATATTTGTGTCACGGACAAAAAAACAATATGGCCGACCGGCCGTTTAAACGATTTTTTTCTTTTTTTTCCCACGTTAAAAATTTTTTGTTTTATTTACATATTTTTATTAAATAATAATTAAATTTTCTTTTTTTCTTTTTTCTTTAAAAAAAGTTTTAAAAAGAAAAAACAAAAAAAAAATTAAATTTTAAATCGTTTTAATATTTTATTTTATAAAACAAAATGGCGACGGTATGAAAATAATAACTTTTTTTTAAAAATTATAATATAAATATTACGTAATTATTTATTTTGATGTAAAGGAAGCGCGTTTATATACATGAAGATTAATAATAATAATAATAATAATAATAATAATAATAATAATATGAAAGTTTACCCTACGGCGCCATTTACTCTCTAAAAGTAATAAAGTTAAACGATTTGTCGAGAAAAGTCATTTTCTCAAGCTTTTATAATTGTCGTCGGCTCCATTTTCATTTTCATCGCAAAGGAAAACATAATAAAAAGGAAAAAAAAAAAGGAAAAATGGCCGGAGGATTGAAAATTGAACCAAAATTAATTTTGTCAGAAACAACAACAACGTTTAAACAAAAATGAATTTTACTTTAGATTCATTTAATAGGATTTACTTACTCAAATTGATTTTCTATCTCTCTCTCTCTCTCTCTCTCTCTCTCTCTCTATCTATCTCTATCTCTCTTTTTCTCTCTCTCCGGTAACAACAACCGACCGAGCGACCGAAACAATTCAAAGGAAGGAAGGAAGGAAAGATGGAAAATGTTGTTTGTTTTACAGAAACAAATTTCGTGTCGCAATTGTTAATATTAAGGGGAGGAGAGGGGAGGGTAGGGAGGGGAGTCCCATTTTTAATAAGGTATAAATCCGGAAAGTCACGACCGGTAAACTTTTATATTTTTTAGGGATACAAAAAAAAGGGGGAGATTTTTAATGATTTAATTAGGAAAAACAAATTTATATTTTTATCCTTCTTCCTATAAAAACATTTAATCAATTTTTGTTTGTTTGTTTGTTTATTTAGTTTTACGTTATTCTTTTTTCCTTTTCTTTTTTTTTTTACTTCGTCCAATTAAAATCTGAACGTTTTCACGTTTAAAATAAATAAATAAATAAATATATAATTTATTCGCACGTTTGTTAATATCCATTATTATTATTATTATTGATTGTTGTTGTCGTTGTTGTTGTTTTTGTTACTTGAAATTTCTTTGTCGTTTCGTATTGAAAATTTTTTTTAAAATAAATTTTCTTCTGGTTTCGATAATAAACAACGTCCAAAAACTCAACTTTAGGTTGATTATTATTATTATTATAAATTGCGTTTGTTACTTTTTTGTATCGATGTGTGATGATGATGATGATGATGATGATGATGATGATACCTGAGATTGTTCGAACCGGGAAACAGAATTTTTCTCTTTTCAATTTATTCTTTTTTTTTCTTCTCCACTTTGATTAATTTTATACTCATTGAATCCTTTCATTTGTTTACGAATGATTGATTGATTGATCGATCGATGAATGTTCAAATGAAAAAAAAAAATTTAAATATTAATTAATCATAAAACACAAGCAGAAGAAAAAATTAAAAATCGAACGAGAGAGCGAGAGAACGTGCGCGTGTGAAAGTCGTTTAAAAAAATTTTTTGTTTCATTAATTTTTATCCGTACATACGTTTATTATTTAGAGTTTGTACGTGCACGCACGTGCACGCGTGTGAATCCGAAACGAATCCAGCGACTCCATAAGTGTAAATAAAGAATCAGATGAAATGATGAGAAAGCTCCATCTCTTTTTCGTTCATCTCCAGCATCTGCGCTTTTTTAACGTGAAGCGACATCTTGGAATCTGGATCACTTTTTTTTTCATTCAATTATTATTATTATTATTATTAATTTAAAGTATAAAAAAAAATTACGATAAATAAATAAATAAATAATTTGTTATTATTATTATTATTAATATTTATGAATTAAATATGAGAAATAAAAAAAATAAAAAAAATAAAAACGAAAGAAAAAAGTGAGAAGTGAAGTAAAAAAAAAAAAAAAGGGAAATTTTTGTAAGGAAAAAAAAAAAAAAAAAAAAAATTGGGATTGAGATCGATTGGGAAAACATCCTTCTCGTCAAAAGAGGTATTAATACACATACACACACACACACATACACGCACTCACGCACGAACACACCGACAGGTGAGATTTACTGTTTGTCGGTTGTTGTTTTATTTTATATTTATATACGTTTTTTTTAATTGTTTGTACGATCAAAAAGGTTGTTATCTATAATCTTGTGTATTTTTATGTAAATAATTAATAATATATATTAATTAATGGATGGGAAATGATAATAATAATATTGATGATAATAAGGTCAAGTATTTTTAGAATAAGGAAAAGTTAACCTAACCTGGATTCTTCTGGAAATTTTTTTTTAGAATGAATTCTTCTTACGGTGGAGGTAAATTAGTAGGTCGAGGAGGGGTAGGAGGAAATTTTAATTCACCTCAAACACAAATCGATGCATCAACCCAGGTAATAATTATTAATTTAATTAATTAAAAAATTTTTTTTGTGTCCTTTGAATATAAAACCAAAAAAAAAACGAAAAAAAATGTTTAGGCGGATTTAGTTGAATATGAATCAGAAGATGAAAGAACGAGTCGTAGAAACAGGAGTCAAAGAGGTACACCATATTCTAAAATAGATATAAGAGAACAATATTGTATAAATAATAAAGAGGTTCAGGTACTCGAAAGCGGGTCATCATCACTTTTCGGTTGTTTGTCGAAACATAATAACGGTTCGTGTAAATCTCGTCAATATTTCTTAAGCGGATGCGTTAGCCGAGTACCAAGCGAAGAAAATTTACACGAATTTAAATTTCAACCACTTCCCAGAAGACCGATTGACGATTTGGAAAGAGCTTATTTAAGAAGGAGACCGAAATCTTTATGCGGAAGCGATTCTGGAAGATGCAGCAATTGGATACCGGAAGAAGAAGAAGAAGAAGAAAATTTAACGACGGTAATTTTTTTTTTCTAATTAAAAACAAACAAAAACCAAACCAAAAAAAAAAATTTTTTTTTTTTTAGAATTACATAAGGGATAAACAAAACAATCATTTGGATTATCCGGGAATAAAAAGGGGACACACGATAAGTTTTAGTTCTGAACATTTGGCATCATCTTGCCCGGCTCATTACCTTCCACCTCCTCCACCACCGCCTGCCGGTAGGTAAGTTTTAATAAAAGTTTTTTTTTTTTTTTAAATTAAACATGGAGGCAAATTAAAAATGAATTGATGAGTGTAAATTAAATTTTTTTTTTTTTTAAAGAGGTAAACACGTTAGTTTTGCACGTTCGCACACGTTGACTTCATTCGATGACGCCATTATTGAATTACAAAAAAATTCACAAATTTACAAAACTCAAGAACGCCTTATATTGTCAACACAACCAGTTAAAAAACAATCCCGCATGATACAATATGGTAATATTTTTTTTTACAAATTATAATAAACAATTAAACAAAATGACGTCATTTATTTATTTATGCAGAGCCGAAAGTATTAAAAAAAACTGCTATGAAAACACAAGCGACACAAACTGGTTGCATACGAAGAGAACCGCCAAAATATCTTTCATTAAGTCCAAGAACCGTCCATAGAGTAATTAAAAAAAATTTTTCTTTTCTTTTTTAATGGCCAAAATTTTTTTTTTTTTAAACGAAATTTAAATTGATTTAAAGGTAAAAATGGTATCGCAAGGAGCACAAACAAACGGACAATTGACAAACGGTAGAAAATTAATGAAAAGTTATTCCGAAGCCGGTTGTTGTTTTGGTGAAGGACATGTTGGTACCACCAGTTGTGGTAGAACCAAAGAACACGATACACTTGTAAGAACCCAATCGGAAGAACCGAGATCGCCATTTTCATCTATGAAAACAGTTTTACCATGGACTGAAAATGATAATTTTATAAATTTAAATAAATCGGACGTGAAGAAAACAACGCAAAATTCTACAAAAATTTACAAAGAAATATTTATCGATTTCGAACCAGTCGAAGATTTAGAAATGCCAAAGACTAATAATAATAATAATTTAAATGATGAAAATATTATTAAAGACGATAAAGAATCGGATAAATGTATCACCAATCACATCGTTGATCGAGTGGATGGAATAAAGGTCATTAACCACCATTCATTCATTCATTCTCTTTCTCTCTCTTTCTCTTTTTTTAATGATAAATCTTTTATTATTATAATAATTAGGTGTGTTCTTCGAGCTGCAGCGAAATCGGAGAAGAAGAAAATGATTTTATAAATATAAATAAAAATGATAAACATAATCCTTTATCATTTAACCAAAATTCAATCGATGAAGAATTCCATGAAAATTTCTTTTACGAAGGAATATTTAACAATTTAACATCATCATCATCTCAACAATCATCAAAACCGGCGAGTATACTTAATAATAATAATAATAGTTTTAATCATTGTTTTTTACTGTTCGTTTGTTGGCGCACAGGTTTGTCAAAATGAAAAAGATGGTTCCGAAAAGAAATCTGGAGCGAGTACTCCAGATATAAGAGATTTTCAATCGACGACATTAAACGTCTCTAAAAAAATTTCTCCATTTGCTTCTTGCGATTCATTAGGAACGGATCAAAAAGATCACAGCGATGGCATCTGGAACGAATCACAGTCGACCGTACTTCAAGCGGAAATTGATAATAATGACGTCACATCTCGAGCACCGTCCAAAAAACATTTGCTTATATTACAACATCAACAAAGATCATCCATCGATACTGAAATTTTAGAAAACGATACTTTTTATTCACAGGTAAGAGAATAAGAAAGGTCAAAAGGTGAAACATGGGCGATAATTTTTTTTTTCCTGTTTCAGTCTCCGATTCGGTCACCATTAAAACACGATTTAGCAGTGCCTTTTGTAACAGTCGCTCCCGTTCACGAAAATCATTCAATACAATTGTTATCAGAGGTCCAACTTGCGAGAAATTCTTGTCATCCTCCTTTCGCATCAAACGCGATTCATCACAATTCGAGAGAACTGCGAAAAAAAATGAGCAAAAGTCCGGAAAAGGAAGATTTTAAATTTGAATCAGGAAGGATAACGGATATTTCGGAAAATTCAACGACGGATGATTACGCCACTGCATACGATAACTCGGACACGAGTTCTAAAGTGTCCGTCAACTATCACCAGAGAGATAAAATGTTGGGAAATAAAATAGAAAGTAAAGATGGTAGCTCATTCGAAAGCGCATCCTCCATTCACAGCTTTGTCAAAGAAGACACATTGCAAATCGTGCCTTCATCTCCGCCAACGATCAGAGAAGAAAATTCGGAGGAAGAAATATTGAAAAATGCATTGACCGATTCCGGAAGATTCGGCGACGAAGAAATTCTTAAAATTGATGATAAACAAGACGGAAATGAAAAAGAATTGTCGGGGGAAGCGGAAAGCAGTAGTTCGGGAAGTTATAGTTTAGACAGCGGACAACGCGATCAAAAAATCGAATGGCCGGAACAAGAAACTTTAAATAATAATTATGATAATTTGACGGAATTTAAATTAGAATTTAGTGAAACTCATCATAATTTTACAAAATGGCTTGACAGACCGGAAATAACGACGACGACTACAACTACTACTACTACTACTACTACGACATCAACATTAGCAGGAGCAGCAGGAGCGACAAACGACTTAACGCAAAAATCTCAACATGGGGCAACAACAGACGACGTTATTTCAGGCTCTTCAACCAAAACGAACCAATCGGTGAGAAAGATAGAGAGAGAGAAAGAGTAAGAGAAATTTTTTCAAATTTTAAAATTAAAAATTATTTTATAGAAAAAAAAGATGGGAAAAGACAACGAAGAAGTTCCACCTAAAATGGTTCGAAGTCCGGCAATGCCCGAAGGTTTTTCATCCGACAACTGGAAATCACAAACGAAAATAATTCATCACATCGGAGAAAAGGTTTGAAAAATCAAAAAAAAATTACTTTTCCTTTTAAAAAATAATAATTAATTAACGGCGTGTCTGAAAATCGATTCAGGTTCAAAAGGGCGAAACTGAAATTTCATCAGATGAATCTAGTTCCGAGTATAAAAATGCAATCGTCGATGAAACAAACGTGAATGGACATTCTCCTAGACGACAAAGAAGAAAAATCGGCGGAAGAGGAAGAAGAAATCAAATCGCAATAGAAGGAAATTCTAAAAAAAAATCTCTGGCTAATACGATTCCAGGAAATCCAGAATTGAATTTATCTCCGAATAAATTTGGACAAAGTCCAGTACACAGTTCAAAAGGGAGTCCTAGAAAAGTAGCCAAAATGACAAAAGGACAAGATCATAAAAAAGTATGTTTATATGAAAATGATTTTCATTTTTCCAGAAGATTTAAGAGAAATAATAATAATAATAATAAATTACAGAACGCTCCAGGTTCCGATGGTGTCACACATTTAAAAACACTCAGCGCCGAATCATTAAGATCTGTTAGTCCGGGAAGCGACAGCGTTTTTTACAACGAAGCAGAAACTCACATGCTTTGTCATCAATGCGGAAGAGAATACGAAGGGGATCACGTACGAATGGAAATGGAAGAAATAACGACGACGACAACAACAACAACAACAACAACAATAACAACCGAAGATATTGTTCAACCACCAGCGGGTTTTGCAGATTCACCAGAAAATACAAAATCGCGAACTCACAGACTTTATAAAAAACAAGAAAAACGTTTCAGATCGGAAGAAAGAGGAGGAGAAAAACGAAGGCATTCACGTTTCAGAGCGGAAAATCTTCGGGCGAAATCCGAAGAAAGAGGAAAAGAAAAAAGTTGTAAAACAAAATTACGACAACATGCAAGATCAATCGATGCAAGCATGGAAAAATTAAAAGGTGGCGGTGGTGGTGGAGACTCCAGTCCAAGCATATCAGAACCATTGACAACAAACGAACCAAGAATATACGCGGATCCTTTTAAACAAAATTCTTGGATTTGCATCGTCGACAAAGAAGGAACGACGACAAAATGGAATCGTTCAATGGATTCCGGTTTGTTTTTATTTATTTATTTATTTTTTTAAAATAATTTAATAGTAAATAAATTTTGTTTTTTATTAATCAAAACAACAGGAGGAGAAGATGAAAATAAATCGTTAGAAGACGTGTCAAAAGAAAATAACGAATCCACGTCATCGGAAAAAGAATTTAAAAAAAAATATCAAGCAGCAACACATAGAATGGTTCATAGGAAATCTTCTATCGAAATGTATAAAAGACTTCAAACAAAATCATTTGGTAAAGTATATCTATATATCTTCTTCTTTTTCTTAAATTCCACACCACCACCACCACCACATGTCGATGCATTTCTGCCAACATTATCAAAAAAAAAAAAAAAAATTTTTGGAAAAATTTCAACTGGCAAAAAATCAATAAAAAAAAATAAAATTTTTTTTTTAATTCGGTCAATGAAATTATTTCAGTTTTCTCCCCGGTGTGTTATGAAAAATTTTTAATAAAAAATTATGTAATTATTATTATTATTTAAAAATTTATGTACATAATTCATTAATTATTAATTTTTTTTCGTTTTTAACTAAAAAAAAAAATAATTAATTTTATTATTATTATGCACGCGGGTTTTTTTATTTATTTAACTTCTTATTTATTTTTATATGTATATAAAAATAAAATAAAAAGTAATTAATAATGTTATGTACATAAAATTTAAATAATTAAAACGTGAGTCAAAAAAATTTTCTATTTTTATTATTGGATTCTTGTTAGTGAAATTAAAAATTATTTTTATCAGGTGAACGGCGGGCGGCGGTTTTTTTTTTTTTTAATCGAATCTCGATATTAAAATGGCAACGTTGTTAAATTAATAATAATAATAATAATAATAATTTTTTGAATGAAAATCGAATCGAAATCGAAAACGAAATTAAATAAAATGTGCTTACTTGGTGGTGGCGGCGATGACGGTGACGGTGGTGGCGATGGCGGTGGTGGTGCTGGTGCTGGTGGTGGATCATCAAACGATACGAAATCCGATGATGGTTCCCTAAAAAAAAAATTACAAGAATTAATGAGAATAATGTTGGTTGTGTGGAGCACACAAGAAAAAGCCATCAGGGTCGTTAATGGCGGTAATTTTTTCTTTTTTTCAAAAATTAATTTTATCCAGAAAAAAAAAAAAATTTTTTTTGTTGTTGTTGTTAGAATGCGATAAAAAAGTTATAGTGAAAAGAAAATCTGGAGAATTTGGATTTAGAATACATGGAAGTAGACCCGTTGTTGTATCGGCCATCGAACCGGATACTCCAGCTGAATCATCCGGTTTAGAAGTTGGCGACATTGTTTTATCCGTGAATGGCGTTTCCGTTTTGGAAGCTTCTCATTCCGACGTTGTTAAATTGGCTCACGCAGGTACTAAAAATTAAAAAAAAAAAAAATTTTTTTTTTCGTATAAAAATTAAAAATAAAAATTTTTAAAGGTTCCGACACTTTGGAACTTGAAGTTGCAAGAACGTCTTCTGCTTTAACATCGTCAACAAACGCCCAAGAAATATCCGTCGTTTATTCAGGATTTTTAAATAAACGTGGCGCTAATAATAAATGGCATTCAAGATGGTTCGCACTGAAAAATGATAATTGTTTATATTATTTTAAATCTCAAACGGTATGCACAAATCATGCATGATGATGACGATAATAGAGGTGGTTATTTCGGGTTTTATGTTACAGGAATGCCAACCGATCGGAGCTCTCCTATTATTTAATTACAAATTTAAATATTTAACGGATTCTGAACGAGTCAACACTTTTGTACTCGAAAGGGAAGGTTCGAAAAGTTTAGAATTACAAACGGATTCGAAAGAACAAGTCCACGCTTGGAAAATTCATTTAGAAAAAGCAATGGAATCGAAAAATATCAACGATGGACAACAATGGTTTGATAAGAGTTGTCGTTTAGTTTATCAATCACCATCATCCGTCGAAGAACCTGATTGTTTTGGTCATTTGACGTCACTCGAAGATAAATGGAGAAGACGTTATTGCATATTAAAAGATGCTGCTTTGCTTTTATATTCGGATATAGGAGCGGATAAAGCTTTGGCTGTTGTTTTCTTACAAGGATATAAAATACAAAGTACGAGCGGTACAACTTCCGGTAAAAGATTTTCATTTGAAATCGTACCACCGGAACCGAAACAAAAACATTTATATTTTTACACGGATACGGAAATGGATAAGAAAAGGTTAATCAATCAATCAATCATCGTCATCACCATCAACAATAATAATAATAATAATAATTTTGTTTTCAGATGGATAGCAGCCTTAGAATATTCAATCGATAGATGGATGAAACTCGAATAAATCCATAATAATAATAATAATAATAATAATAATAATAATAATAATAATAATACTAGAGTATAATTATTATATTTTTTGTGTCCAACGAATAAAAATAAGAAATTTAATAGTTTTTTTTTTTTTTTGTTTTTCGAATAATTAAAATTTTAAATTTAAATAAATAAATAATAATAATAATAATTAGAAATCGAAAAAAAAAAAACAAAAACCAAAAAAAAAAAAATTTGTCAATTCATTAATTAATTAATCTAATTAAATATATTTAGAAATAATGATGATTATGATGATGTAATAGTAAATAATAAATTAACATTATTATTATTATTATTATTATAGATAGAACTAAGGCCTGTGTTGTATAATAATCACTTTTAACTTTTTTCTTTTGACTACTACTAGTACTACCTCCACTACCACTACCACTACTACTATTATTATTATTAATAAATTTTTTTTTTTACTACAAATTCCAATAATAATAATAATATTTTCTTTTTAAAAGAAAAAAAAAAATTTTCTCCGATTCCGTAATTTTGCCTTATCCCATCTCAAACAATAAATAAAAATTTCCCGTCGGACCAAAAATCATATAAATATTAAATTGCACACATAAATAAATTTTATTGTTTGTTATTAATAATAATAATAAATAAATAAATATTATTAACTCTTTAAAAATTATTAATTAATTTAAATAAATACATTAGAAAAAAAAAAAAATTAAAATGAGAATGTTTGTCGTTTAATAATGTGTCGATAAATTTATTTTAAATAAAAATTATTTACATAAATAATTTTTTTGAGCAAATAATAATAATAATAATAATAATTTTTAAATAATTAATAAAATAACGAAAAAATTTATTTTAAATGTAATAAAGCATTTCTCTAAATTTTTTTTTTTTTTTTTAATCACAATGGAATGATAACTAATTATGTATAAATAAAAAAAAATTGAAGGAAACTTATCACCGTGTTAATAATAATAATAATAAATTTAAATGAAAAAAAAAAATTCATAGACAACAACAACTTATGTTTGAGGAGGGGGACGGGGGAGGAGGAGGTAAAGG